GATAACCCAGGGTAGGGAGTGTTATCCACCCAGGATAACCCAGGGTAGGGAGTGTTAACCACTCAGGATAACCCAGGTTAGGGAGTGTTAACCACCCAGGATAACCCAGGGTAGGGAGTGTTAACTACCCAGGATAACCCAGGGTAGGGAGTGTTTAAAACACCCAGAGAGTTACCCGAACCAGGGTTAGGGAGTGTTAACCACCCAGGATAACCCAGGGTAGGGAGTGTTAACCACCCAGGATAACCCAGGCTAGGGAGTGTTAACCACCCAGGATAACGCAGGGTAGGGAGTGTTATCCACCCAGGATAACCCAGGGTAGGGAGTGTTAACCACCCAGGATAACCCAGGGTAGGGAGTGTTATCCACTCAGGATAACCCAGGTAGGGAGTGTTAACCACCCAGGATAACCCAGGGTAGGGAGTGTTATCCACCCAGGATAACCCAGGGTAGGGAGTGTTAACCACCCAGGATAACCCAGGGTAGAGAGCGTTATCCACGCAGTATAACCCAGGGTAGGGAGTGTTATCCACCCAGGATAACCCAGGGTAGGGAGTGTTATCCACCCAGGATAACCCAGGGTAGGGAGTGTTATCCACCCATGATAACCCAGGGAAGGGAGTGTTAACCACCCAGGATAACCCAGGGTAGGGAGTGTTATCCACCCATGATAACCCAGGGAAGGGAGTGTTAACCACCCAGGATAACCCAGGGTAGGGAGTGTTAACCACTCAGGATAACCCAGGGTAGGGAGTGTTATCCACCCAGGATAACCCAGGGTAGGGAGTGTTAACCACTCAGGATAACCCAGGTTAGGGAGTGTTAACCACCCAGGATAACCCAGGGTAGGGAGTGTTAACTACCCAGGATAACCCAGGGTAGGGAGTGTTAACCACCCAGGATAACCTAGGGTAGGGAGTGTTAACCACCCAGGATAACCCAGGGTAGGGAGTGTTAACCACCCATGATAACCCAGGGTAGGGAGTGTTAACAACCCAGGATAACCCAGGGTAGGGAGTGTTAACCGCGTCTTACCTAAACAAACCTTGTAACATCAAGGGGTCGTCACAAGAGATCCTGTCAGGCAGTCCTAACGAATCCCTATACTACTTAATTTTAGGTCCAGAAGATACATGCACCGACAATTTACTCTAATCCTGTTTTTTAGGGTTAAAAGTATTCTTGTGTGAGGGTGAACATGTAACACGCAGCGTGTCTTTCTTGTAGTCGATAGGCTTGTAACCCCATTAAACAATCACAGTTAGAAAACTGGATATACTCGAATGCAGTATACATTGTAAAGTGTAGGTCTTTCAGTGTATATAAATTGAAATCTAATTTTAATTTTTATATTAGTTATTAAACTAATCTTGACTAGGGGTATGGAGCTTTAATGGCCCTCGTGTAGCCGATAGGCTTTAAACCCCACTCACCCACCTTGGAGCATATCTCAGTTCAGGGAAATATCTTTAACGTCATTCTTTCCAGGAACAGATTTACAGAAAGTGTATTATAAAAGCTACTTAGTTATTAGAGTTATATCTAACAGCCCCTTTCAAGGCAGGCGAAATTACAGACCGGGAGAATGTAAAGAGAACTTTCACGGCGCGTATAATTACGATAAAGCACCTAAACTACTGGTAACGGTTAAAATCCCTTGATTTGCATTCCCTGGAACGCAGGAAAGAAAGATACACGATAATATACACTTGGAAAATCCTGGAGGGATTAGTCCCAAATTTGCACACGCAAATCACTCCCTACGAAAGCAAAAGACTGGGCAGGAGATGCAACATCTACCCCGAAGAAAAGCAGGGGCGCCACGAGTACACTAAGAGACAACACAATAAGTGTCAAGGGCCCAAGACTGTTTAACTGCCTTCCAGCATACAAAAGAGGGATTACCAGTAGATCCCTGGCTATCTTCAAGAAAGCGTTGGAGAGGTACCTAAAGTCAGTACATGACCAGCCGGGACGTGACTCGTACGTCAGTTTACGTGCAACCAACAGTAACAGCGTGGTTGATCAGACCCTGATCCACTAGGAGGTCTGGTCACAGACCGGGCTGCGGGGGCGTTGATCCCCGAAACCCTCTCCAGGTACTCAACAGGTTAATGGGTGTTTATCTGCCCTGGGCGCAGGACTGGATGTACGGTAAGGTAAGGTATTTTACCTGTTATCGTCCAGAAATTTCGTACGGTACTCTCCAGTTATTTCTTTACGGTTCAGTATGGTAAAAATGTCGTAACATAATTTTGTACCTTTTCTGTAAAAGAAAATATGAGTCTTCCATTTTTAAGGACTGTTAATTCTCCAGCGGCAGCAATAACATTATACTGTCGACGAACCTTCCAACAGGTATTATACAGCCTGCTGATTTATTAAGACACACACACACACACACACACACACACACACACACACACACACACACACACAACACACCAGTAATCAGGCTAAGGAAGAATGGTGGGGAGTTCACTAGAAACGACCAAGAGGTATGTGAAGAGCTCAACATGAGATTTAAAGAAATATTTACAGTGGAAACAGGTAGGACTCCAGGAACTCAGAACAGGGAGGTACACCATGAAGTGCTTGATGAGGTACACAACCAAGGAGAAGGTGAAAAAGCTGCTATGTGAACTTGATACCTCAAAGGCAGTGGGACCAAACAACATCTCTCCGTGGGTCGTTAGAGAGGGAGCAGAGATGCTGTGTGCCACTAACACCTGGAAAGAAACAAGGGGTATAATCGACAACCAGCACGGTTTCAGGTGACAGAAGTAAGACAAGAGAGAGAGGGGTGGATAGACTGCATTTTCTTGGACTATAAGAAGGTCTTCGACACAGTTCCTCACAAGAGGTTAATGCAAAATCTAGAGGATCAGGCACACATAACAGGAAAGGCACTGCAATGGATCAGAGAATATCTGACAGGGAGGGAACAACGAGTCATGGTACGCGACGAGGTGTCAGAGTGGGCGCCTGCGACAAGCGGGGTTCCACAGGGGTCAGTCCTAGGACCTGTGCTGTTCTTGGTATATGTGAACGACATAACGGAAGGGATAGACTCAGAAGTGTCCTTGTTTGCTGATGATGTGAAGTTAATGAGGAGGATCAAATCGGTCGAGGATCAGGCAGGACTAGAAAAAGACCTGGACAGGTTACAAGCCTGGTCCAGCAACTGGCTCCTGGAATTTAACCCTGCCAAATGCAAAGTCATGAAGATCGGGGAAGGGCAAAGAAGACTTCAGACAGAGTGTAGTCTAGCTGGCCAAGGACTGCAAACTTCACTCAAGGAAAAAGATCTTGGGGTAAGTATAATACCGAGCACATCTCCTGAGGCGCACATCATTCAGATAACTCCTGCTCCATACGGGTGTCTGGCAAACCTAAAGATAGCGTTCCGATACCTCAGTAAGGAATTGTTCAAGACTCTGTACACCATATACGTCAGGCCCATACTGGAGTACAGCACCAGTTTGGAATCCACATCTGATCAAGCACTTCAAGAAACTAGAGAAAATGCAAAGGTGTGCAACATGACTAGTCCCAGATGTAAGGGGATTGTCCTACGAAGAAAGGTTAAGGGAAATTGGCCTGACGACACTGGAGGACAGGAGGGTCAGGGAAGACATGATAACACATAAAATTCTGCGCGGAATAGACAAGGTGGATAAAGACAGGATGTTCCAGAGATGGAACACAGAAACAAGGGTTCACAATTGGAAGTTGAAGACCCGGATGAGTCAAAGGGATGTTAGGAAGTATTTCTTCAGTTATAGAGTTGTCAGGCAGTGGAATAGCCTAGAAAGTGACGTAGTGGAGGCGGTAATCATACATAGTTTTAAGACGAGGTTTGATGAAGCTCGTGGAGCAGGGAGAGAGAGGATCCAGTAGCAATCAGTAAAGAGGCGGGGCCAGGAGATATTACTCGACCCCTGCAAACACAAATAGGTGAGTACAAATATGTGATAACACGAGCAGGGTTCCACAGGGGTCAGACCTAGGACCGGTGCTGTTTCTGGTATATGTGAACGGCATGACGGACGGAATAGGCTCAGAAGTGTTCTTGTTTGCAGATGATGTGAAGTAAATGAGAATTCAGTCGGATGACTACCAGGCAGAACTACGAATGGATCTGGACAGGCTACACGGCTGATTCAGAAACTAGCTTCTGGAGTTCAGTCCCACCAAGTGCAATGTCATGAAGATTGGGGAAGGGCAAAGAAGACCGCAGACGGAGTACAGTGTAGGTGGCCAGAAACTACAAACCTCACTCAAGGAGAAGGATCATGAAGTGAGTATAACACCAGGCACATCTCCGGTGGCGCACATCAACAAATTAACTGCTGCAGCATATGGGCGCCAAGCAAACCTAAGAATAGCAATCCAACATCTCAATAAGGAATCGTTCAGGACCCTGTACACCGTGTACGTCAGGGATATATTGGAGTATGCAGCACCAGTTTGGAACCCACACCCAGCCAAGCACGGATGGAAATTAGAGAAAGTTCAAAGATTTGCAACATGACTAGTCCCGGAGCTAAGGGGTATGTCCTACGAGGAGAGGTTAAGGAAAATCTTCCTGACGACACTGGTGAACAGGAGAGATAGGGGGGGCTGTGATAACGACATATAAAATATTGAGAGGAATCGACAATGTGGACAGAAACACAAGATGTTCCAGAGATGGGACACAGCAACAAGGGTCACAGTTGGAAGTTGAAACTCAGATAAATCACAGGGATGTTAGGTGTCAGTCTCAGAGTTTTCAGGAAGTGAAATAGTCTAGGAGGTGATGTAGTTGAGGCAGGATCCATACATAGCTTTAAGAAGAGGTATGATAAAGCTTATGGAGCAATGAAGAGGCGGGGCCAGGAGCCGTAACTTGACTCCTGATAACACAACTAGGTGATTACACGCATACACACACACACACACTCAAGATTATTTTTAATTATAAGAAAATAAGAAAAACATTCTTGTGTATGTTACAGCCGCGGCTTCGCCAGCATGCGAGCGGTGCGGTCGCTGGTGCGGCTGGGTCGCCAGCGGTCACGGGGCGGCGGAGGCAGTGGCGACGAAGAAGAAAAGATCCTGAAGGAGGCGGAGCAAGTGGAGCAGCAGCAGCCTGCTAGGGACCCAGGACGGCCTCCCTCAGCATGCTCCACGCTCTCTGATAATGAATCAACATACTCACTCTCTAACAATGTCAGAGTGAAGAAGTAAGTCCCACTCTTGTTGGAGTGAGGGAGGGAGGGAGGGGTGTGTTGGTGGAGTGAGGGAGGGAGGGGTGTGTTGGTGGAGTGAGGGAGGGAGGTGTGTGTTGGTGGAGTCAGGGAGGGAGTTGTGTGTTGGTGGAGTGAGGGAGGGAGGTGTGTGTTGGTGTAGTGAGGGAGGGAGGTGTGTGTTGGTGTAGTGAGGGAGGGAGGTGTGTGTTGGTGTAGTGAGGGAGGGAGGTGTGTGTTGGTGTAGTGAGGGAGGGAGGTGTGTGTGTGGTGGAGTGAGTGAGAGGGAGGTGTGTGTTGGTGAGTGAGGGAGGGAGGTGTGTGTTGGTGGAGTGAGGGAGGGAGGTGTGTGTTGGTGGAGTGAGGGAGGGAGGTGTGTGTTGGTTGGAGTGAGGGAGGGAGGTGTGTGTGTTGGTGGAGTGAGGGAGGGAGTGTGTGTGTTGGTGGAGTGAGGGAGGGAGGTGTGTGTGTTGGTGGAAGTGAGGGAGGGAGGGGTGTTGTTGGTGGAGGTGAGGAGGGAGGTGTGTGTGTTGGTGAAGTGAGGAGGGAGGGTGTGTGTTGGTAGAGTGAGGGAGGGAGGGTGTTGTTGGTGGAGTGAGGGGCGGAGGTGTGTGTGTTGGTGGAGTGAGGGAGGGAGGGTGTGTGTGTTGGTGGAGTGAGGGAGGGAGGGTGTGGTGTTGGGAGTGAGGGAGTGGAGGTGTGTGTTTGGTGAGTGAGGGAGGGAGGTGTGTGTGTTGGTGAGTGAGGGAAGGGAGGTTGTTGTGTTGGTGGAGTGAGGGAGGGAGGGGTGTGTGGTTGGTGGAGTGAGGGAGGGAGGTGTGTGTGTTGGTGGAGTGAGGGAGGGAGGGGTGTGTTGGTGGAGTGAGGGAGGGAGGTGTGTGTGTGGTGGAGTGAGGAGGGAGGTGTTGTGTTGGTGAGTGAGGGAGGGAGTGTGTGTGTTGGTGGAGTGAGGGAGGGAGGTGTGTGTTGGTGGAGTGAGGGAGGGAGGTGTGTGTGTTGGTGGAGTGAGGGAGGGAGGTGTGTGTGTGTGGAGTGGGGAGGGAGGGGTGTGTGTTGGTGTAGTGAGGGAGGGAGGTGTGTGTGGTGGTGGAGTGAAGGAGGGAGGTGTGTGTGTTGGTGAGTGAGGGAGGGAGTGTGTGTGTTGTGGAGTGAGGGAGGGGTGTGTGTGTTAGTGGAGTGAGGAGGGGTGTGTGTGTTGGTGGAGTGAGGGAGGGAGGGTGTGTGTTGTGAAGTGAGGGAGGGAGGTGTGTGTGTTGGTGTAGTGAGGGAGGGAGGATGTGTGTGTTGGTGGAGTGAGGGAGGGAGGTGTGTGTTGGTGGAGTGAGGAGGAGGGTTGTGTTGGTGGAGTGAGGGAGGGAGATGTGTGTGTTGTGTAGTGAGGGAGGGAGGTGTGTGTGTTGTTGGTGAGTGAGGGAGGGAGGTGTGTGTGTTGGTGGAGTGAGGGGAGGGAGGTGTGTGTGTTGTGTGAGTGAGGGAGGGAGGGTGTGTTGTTGGTAGAGTGAGGAGGGAGGTGTGTGTTGTTGGTGGAGTGAGGAGGGAGGTGTGTGTTTGGTGGAGTGAGGGAGGGAGGTGGTGTGTTGTTGTGAGTGGAGGGAGGGGAGGCGTGTGCGTTTGTTGAGTGAGTGAGGGAGGGAGGTGTGTGTTTGGTGAGTGAGGGAGGGAGGTGTGTGTGTTGGTGAGTTGAGGGAGGGAGGTGTGTGTGTTGGGGTGTAGGTGAGGGAGGGAGGAGGTGTGTGTTAGTTGAGTGAGGGAGGGAGGTGTGTGTGTTGGTGAAGTGAGGAGGGAGGGTGTTGTTGGTGTAGTGAGGAGGGAGGTGTGTGTGTGGTGAGTGAGGGAGGGAGGGTGTGTGTTGGTGGAGTGAGGGAGGGAGGTGTGTGTGTGGTGAGTGAGGGAGGGAGGTGGTGTGGTTGGTGTGGTGGGGAGGGAGGGAGGTGTGTTGTTGGTGTAGTAAGGGGAGGGAGGTGTGTGTTGGTGTCGTAGTGAGGGAGGGAGGTGTGTGTTGGTGTAGTGAGGGAGGGAGGTGTGTGTTGGTGTAGTGAGGGAGGGAGGGGTGTGTGTGGTAGTGAGGAAGGGAGGTGTGTGTGTGTAGTGGAGTGAGGAGGAGGTGTGTGTTGGTGGTGAGTGAGGGAGGGAGGTGTGTGTTGGTGAGTGAGGGAGGGAGGGTTGTGTTGGTGTAGTGAGGGAGGGAGGTGTGTGTTGGTGTTGTGAGGGAGGGAGGTTTTTGTGGGTGTTGTGAGGGAGGGAGGGGTGTGTTGGGTAGTGAGGGAGGGAGTGGGTGTGTTTGGTTTGTAAAGGGAGGGAGGTGTGTTTTGGTGTGTGGGGGGAGGGAGGTGTGTTTTTTGGGTTTGTAGTGAGGGAGGGGGGTGTGGTTGGGGTATTTAAAGGGGGGGAGGTGTGGGGTGGTGTAGTAGGGGGGAGGTGTGTTTTTGGGTTTGTAGTGAGGGGGGAGGTGTGTTTTGGTTTTGTGAGGGAGGGGGGTGTTTTGGGTGTAGTGAGGGGGGAGGTGTGGTTGGTTTAGTGAGGGGGGGGGTTGTGTGTTGGTGTTGGGGGAGGGAGGGAGATGTGTGTTGGTGTAGTGAGGGGGGGAGGGGTGTGTTGGTGTTGGGGGGAGGGGGGGGGGAGGTGTGTTTTGGGTGTTGTGAGGGGGGGGAGGTGTGTGTTGGTGTTGTGAGGGGGGGAGGTGTGTGTTGGGGGTTTTTGAGGGGGAGGGGTTTGTGTTGGGTTGTAGGGAGGGAGGGGTGTTTTGGGTGTGTGAGGGGGGGGGGTTTGTGTTGGTGTTGTGAGGGGGGATGTGTTTTTTTTGGTGAAAGGGGAGGGGGGAAAGGTGTGTTTTGGGTTTTGTGAGGGAGGGGGGTGTGTTTTGGGTGTAGTGGGGGAAGGGAGGTTTTGTTTTGGGGTGTAGTGAGGGGGGGGGTTTGTGGGGTTGGGTTTGTAGTGAGGGGGGAGGTGTGGGGGGGGTTTTGTGGAGGGAGGGAGGTGTGTGTTGGTGTAGTGAGGGAGGGGGGGGGTGGGGTTGGGGTGTAGGGGGAGGGAGGTGTGTGTTGGTGTGGGTGGGGAGGGAGGTGTGGGGTTGGTGTAGTGAGGGAGGGGGTTTTTGTGGGTGTATTTGAGGGGGGGAAAGGTGGGGTTTTGGGGGTTTTTGTGAGGGGGGGGTGTGTGTTGGTGTTGTGGGGGGGATTTATGTGTTGGTGTTGTGAGGGGGGGAAGGGTGGGTTGGGGGTTGTAAAGGGGGGAGTTAGGGGTTTTGGTGTTGTGGGGGGGAGGTGTGTGTTGGTGTTGTGAGGGAGGGAGGTGTGTTTTGGTTTTGTGAGGGGGGAGGTGTGTTTTGGGTTTGTAGTGAGGGGGGGAGGTGTGTGTTGGTGTATGAGGGGGGGGGGGAGGGGTTTTTTTTTTAAAGCTTTAATGACAAAAAGAATAATGGTTTTTCCCGCTATTCTTTATGATTTTCCCACAAGGGAAAAAAAAAAGGAAATTTTACGCTTTCGGGCATTATCCATCACACAGGAGGGGCCCTACGCATTTTTGTTGTAATTTTGCGAATCTGTCCCAAAAGGGACTACGTCAGGAGACCTCAGAGATTTCCTTCAAAGGTGATTAGAAATTTTTGGTTTTCAATCTTCAGGATAGCTTATTTTTTTAACACGGAAAAATATGCATTTGGACCCCCGTACCCCCCTGATCTGTTTATCTGCTGACCCCGTTTTTCCGCGGTTTACCTCGGCCAAAAAATTTTTAAAGGGAAAGGGGTTGCAAACAGAGGTTTCTTTTTTTCCCATATTTTTCCAATTTTTTTTTTTTATTTTATTTTTTTTTAAAAAAAGTGCAATTTAAAATTTTGGTCATTTAAATATTCACTAAGATTTTTGGCCCGAAAAAAATTTATTTACTGGGGCTACCGGAATTTCTCAGCAGCCCGCAGTAGTGGTTGCGGTGGGAGGTGGGGGGTGGGGGGTGTGGTGTTTGGGGGTAGCGGGGGGGTCTTGGTGGGGAGGTGGTTGTGGGGGGTGGGAAAGGGGGTGGGTTTTCTGGGTGGGGTTGGGGGTGGGTGGTGTTTTTTTTGGCCCGGGAAGGTGGCGTGGTGGTTTGGGGGTGGGGGGGGGGTGGCTCGTGTTGGGTGGGTCCTTTGGGGTTTGGGGGAGGGTTTGTGGTGGCGGTGGTTTTGGGTGGGGTGGGTGTGGTGTTGGGGGTGATGGTGTTTTTTTATTTAAAATAACTTTGTTATGGTTTCAAAAATTGAAGGAGGTTATCTTTAACAGGGGAAAAAGGGTTTAGGAAAGACAAGAGTTAAGTTAAAACCCCATGTGGGGTTTTTAGCGTGGGGGCGGGGCAGGGGGTAGAAAAAACGGTTGGGGAAAAAAAGTGTCCAGGGTGTTTGGAAATTTGGGACGGCTTAAACCCGCAGCTAGGGCGTAGGACAGACTGGAGGGCGGGGGGAGCCCGGGGGAAATGTGGCATCGGGGCTTGTGATGGTTGGGGCTTTAGAAGCTAGTGAAGTAGGTCATGAGGAAGAGGGCAGGCAGGTAAGAAAATCGAGGGCAGCACCTAGTGGGTGTCATAGAGCTGTTTGAGGCGGTAGGTTTTAACTGGATCCCCTTTTAAAATTTTGAAGTGCTCCTGGAGAGGTGGTATAGTTTAGTTTTGTTAATGAAGGTGAAGCTCACAGGCTTGATGAATTCAAGGAAAGCTGGGTGGGGTGTGAAGTGAAGAGGTGGGTTTTGGGAGCCCTTTGTTGATGGAGAAGTGGGAGAAGGTAAGGGTTTTTTAAAGAGGGTGTACAGGAGTCGTCAGTATCTTTTTCTGAAGGGAAATTAAATTGGCGCGCCCCAAAAGGTTTCTAGAGGTGATGGGGGTGACAGGAGCAGTGGAGAGGTTTTAGTGATGGTTTTAATAGCAAAATGAGGAGGGTGAGGGGACGGTGGTTGAGGAAGCATGATCAGCGTTTTTCGGGGGGTTGTGGAAAAATTAAGAAGCAATTGCGGGGGAGAAGGAGGGCAGGT